TGGTTTCATCTTTTGGAATCTCATATTTAAACACAAAAATCTGCTATAAATGAATCAGCGTTGAATAATTATTTTTATCGGTGTAGTGCCACTTAACTATGTCATCTCATATCTGCTTAGTAAAAACAAGGAAACATTGAATCAACAATGAACGAAATTGAAATGATTTGTTTTAGTGCCTTCTACTGACTTTATTCTAGGCAACATTTCGGTTTATAGCAGCAATAAAATGAAAGTGGTACACTTCTGAAATCTATCTCGTTTAGTGCAGCAAACGCATACTTCCCTCAAAATGCATCTTGAAATTTGCAAACACAAAGTTTATTGCTTAAGCGGGAAAGCTTAGATTAGCTTGAGACTGTGAGTTTTGGTTGCATATGAGCCATTTCCTAGAATGCGCTCGGAAGACGTACAGGAGATATGAAGAAAATGCATGTTTCGCATGCGTGAAATTTGAATGTTTAAGAGAATCATCAAGCATAGGATAAAATTAAGTGATATTCTTTTACTGACGTGCTACAAAAGATTTAAGAAATAGAGGAGGGGAGAATAAATAAAAGATGTATAATAAGTGTGTTTGTATACTTAATCAGAGTGAGCATTAATTTTTGAACTGATTTCCTTGTCTAAATTTTAATGATCTTGAATATTATAAAGAAATATTTTGATTATAACAGGCAAATGTCATAAAATTATAAACATAGCCCAATACTGAGTTTTGAGTAAGTTTTGAGTTATTGAGTAAGTATGTATTTTGATTATTTGCCCAAAAGGGACTAATAGTCCCAGAATGGAGTTTTGAGTCGAATCACTATAAATGCGTCTTTTTACATGTCGAGTCTGCTGCCATTCGGAAAATGTAAAATATTTGTTTTTGAATTTGAATCTGTCTACTGTGGATTAAAACTTAAGATATTTGAAAGCCATAGATGCAGGTCTTAGGAATAGTCTTTCCCTAATATTTGAATCTGATTGCTTTAAATAATAAAAGTTCATTTAATTCATAATCTGTTTAATTAAAAATATTCAATGTTTTCATGAAATTTCAGAGAACGTATCTATTTTATAGTATATTTTTTATTATCTATTTCATATTTTGTGTAAAATTTTAATGAATTTTTGATTAACAAACTCAAAGATTTGAAAGCGACCAGTGGCAGACGGAATAAACATTTTTATAAAGGAGGTTGGACTGGACGGAGTAAATCTGACGTCACAAAAATGAAGCCAAGAAAATGCCAGCAACGGGACGTCAAGACTTATCATGGTCGTTATACAGCGGACGGGTTAAGTGTAAATACGAAATATTGTGTTAAATAAAATTACACTGAATTTGGAAACATATATTAACGTCCGCAGGCTCAGAAAAGTATCTTTGGACATTATTTGCATAAAATACCACTGAAAGTTTCACTGATTTTCCAGGTTTTACCATGAATATATTTGTATTATACTTACCATTTGAACATTTTCATGTACCTTGATTTTATTCAATTCGAAAGAGTTATCTGCAGTCCTTGTAAATCTTCTAACATGATTTTTTTCAGCGTCTTTCGATTTATTCGATGGTTTAAGATCGCATTCAATACATTTAAATTTCTGTTTCACTTACAAACCCGTATTCATTTAATAATTAGATTATTGTTTGATTTGAAAGATTTTTTATTGGTAGCAACCACGTGACTTCTAAATAATCCAACGATCAAAGAATAATAAATTGCTTTAGAAAAGTTTAAAAGAATTAAACTGGAAGACTATTTTTTTTTGCTGCGCAAAATACTACCAGTTTAAGGATCGAATTTCGCGTTGAATAATTTGGCCATTGATGTTAAAAATGATACGTGGAAAAAATTCAAGAAAAAATAATATAAATCCGTATCGAATTTAGGAAACGTAACTGGAAAATACTGTATTGTCATCGCAAATACGTATGCATAAAACATTTCAAGTTACATAGAAGTGGGGTCATTCAAGACTTCACCCACACAAACAAAGAAACCAAACAATAAAAACATAAATACATATTAACTAAATCTTAAATTTTTAAATACAGTATAATAATTATTTAATGCAATAGAATAATGCTAAAATTCTTTACGCAACTGAGATTTAAATCTCTATTTATGTGTTTCACTCTGTGGAAACCCTTCAGCACCTAAAGCCACTACATATTTATTTAATATTCGTAGTCTTCCACCCGAACATGGGAACCCTGAATTTTGAATTTCGAATTTGTTTTCGATTTATTTCATACTTTGGGAAAATTTAGCGAATTTTCGTTTAACAAACTCAGTAATTTGAAATCTGAAAGCGAGAAGTGGCAACCCTCTTCGAAATATAACATTTTTATCTCCACCGCGCTAGACTATAGCGTTTCGGCAAAATATAAGATGTTTATGTTCAGTTTTAATCAATAACCTTGGTAATATCTTACGCGCGCTAGCGTGTTGTCATTCAATTGAGGGTAAGATATTTAACTTTTAAACTGTCTATTGAAAAACTAATCAGTTTAAACGCAATAAACTCATTTTTTAAGAATACTTTTTTCTGCTTCTTAACCTGCTGGCTCAGACAGCGGAGTGCCCACTGCGGAACCAAACGCCCCGGGTTCATCCCGGAGAAGTCATGGCTGTAACTGTCCGTCCCTTCATAACCACAATAAAATGGCTGTCACATCTGGCCATTAGGAGTGGCCATTGCTGCATAGGCAAGTGATCGCCATTGGGCTTTTTTTTAAAAGCTTCTTAATCTGATTAATTTAAATTAAAATGTATTTAAATGATATTTAATTAGGAAATGTAAAACATTTTTATGACTTTGCACTATCTGGACTCTTTGTATACGTTTTTATGATAACGTTTTTAGGCTTCAGATAAGCGTTTAGGGCATTAAAAAAAGTAAATATTGAAGCATAGTTCAATCTACTCATCATTCATTCAGTTATCAGTTAAAAGCCCTTATTATACTCCGTAAGCTACACGCAAATGCAATGTAAATGAATACAAGTTAGCCTCGCTTTTAGTTTGACTACGAAGCAAAATTATCTTTTTAGAAGCATATACGAAAACGATTATTGCCTAACTACACAGCTTTAACCTTTCATCCCCCCCCGAAGGGCAAGTATTTTCTCCAATATGCCCTCACGAGATCGATTGTTACGATTACATATGTATAAACGAGTCTTTTTATATTTCAGGTGTTTCATAAAAGCGTTTAAGAATACAAATTTAACACAACATTTTCATAATGATTCGTTCATGAATAATGCATAACACGTGGTTTGAGTACGAAGGTGCAAGGATATCGGAAAGTTTTAGTAAGCAGCTGAAGTTGTGCATATAAAAAAAGATGAACTTGTAAATTTTTCTTTGTTTTGTTACATTGTTGCTTGCTAATTAATACTTATATAAAAACAAGAAGAGATAAACGAAGTATATTTTAAGTCTGCTCTAATCGAATACCATCATTAAAAGTGTGCAACGATCTCTTGATACGCTGAAAGTCATTCTTGCAACGGAATGTGATAAGGCAGTAAACTTGTTATAAAATGAGGTTGATAATTAGATATTATTAACCGCAGATAATAAACAAAATAAATCGAAACACGATGGTAGAACATGAAACATTTAACAGTTTAATTAATGCTATTAATGAAAAGTGACTAGACATCCCGGATTCTGTATCCTGAATTTCAAAGCGGTGTTCCGCTTCAAGATATGTTCAAACGACTGTTCCTTTTTCTGTAAATATCCCTGTGTTTTGCAACTATAGTTAACATGAGTTTTGTCGGTACTGCTTTATACAATCGTTGTTCTTTAGGATTGTGAAGATGTTCGTTTAGGATCAAAAATAAGTTTAATAATCAATAATCGTGCTTTCTAGATATATTTTATTTCACTTATAAGGTCTCCCAAAAGTAGTAGAAAAAAATTTCGGGGTTTCTATCCCGGCTACGTTTGTTTATTTATTGAGAAAAAGAGCAGTGAATTTGTAAGAATTTTTTTTCTTTTTTTTACCGCATGTCTTCGTGGTGTAATTGGAAAGCACGCCCGGCTAGCAATAAGGATGTCCAGAGCTCGAACCCCGGCCAGGGCATTGTTTACGTTCTCATGTTTCATGCCTCCAAAAATTTCTTTAATACCTCTCTAACTAAAGTGTGATGGAGCTAGGATATTGCGATGGGGTCCCCTCCTCCCTACACGCTAATTAAATGAGGAAGGAAGACTACATACTCTTGCTCATTTCAATTCAATTCAATTCAATTCAAGAATTTTCTCCATTCTCGAAGCATACCTTCGTGGTTGATTGGAAGTATGTACGGTTGGCAACTGGGAGGCTGGAATTCCGGCGAAGACACTGTTAATTTTTTTCTGTTTCTTGTTTCGAAGTAAAGTCTAATGACACTTCAAATTTAAACCATGTTAAAATTCTAAAAGCAGAATTTTCTGAAAATACTGTAGAATGTAAACACTTGGGAGAAAGCCTAACTTTCAAAAGAAAATGATTTGATAAAGAGTAATTAATTGATAACAAATTATTCAATGAAATATTCTATTCGGAAAGCTGTGAAATGCATGAAAAGTTAAGCAATTACCCAAGTACAAAACTAAAACTGATCGAAGCCAAGGAAGTTTTTTTTTCCCCTTTGAGGAGAATAATCACATTTTTTTTTCCACATCTGTAACATTTGCAACTGAATTCTTCTCGCTGGGAACTCCAAGTCCAGAACAACTCCACATATACAGCGTACATTTCCATAGCAAATACTATAATGAATCTTCTCATGGTAAACACGTAAAAGTAGATTTTATATTTCTAAGAATATAAATAAATATTAGCATACTGAGCATCATTGCTAGTCATATCCTCTAAGGCTACTTCGTTCCCTCCTTCGATCAGCTTGCCCAACACTAATTTCGGAGAGCTCTGATCGCTTTATGTAAATGGCAATTTCAATAAGAAGAACTGAAGAGCTTCTTTATGATTGTATTCACACATTACGCATAGGAAAATTTAACAATCTCATTCACTCTACTAATAGGACTGTACGGAATCAAAGCTTTAATCCAATGTGCTTTTTTCGTGGTTGGAAATCGGAAGCTCTGGATGCTCGATACGACGAAAAGGTGCTGCTTATCTTAAAAATACATTGCTCATCACCGCAACAAAAACGATTATTTAAAAAGTAATTTTATCTATGCTTCTTCATAACATTTTACTATAAGTGTTATTTTAGAACATTAATATTTTATAACACTACGTAGAATAAAATATATTTCAATATCTTATAGTTGATGGATAATAAAATTCTTAATTCCATTTCTGCTTCAAAAACAAAAAATCTAACAAATTTCTTTGTAATGCAAGGTTCATGCATTTTCATATCGCTGTACGTTCAAAGGTATTATTACACGTTACAAATAATCGCAAACTTAACGAGTTTATATTCTCCAGGTCTGTGACTGGTTCAAATTACCTGGCTGTGGTTATTTCTGCAACTGGCTGCTGATTCTACGGATTTCGGCTTCCAACAGGACTGGCCACTCCTGATTGGAATTCATTTAAGTTCGTCGATACCTGAACAATGAACTTCCACATCGCCTGATTGGGCGTGTTGGTGACATGTTGGTGAGGATGATGAATGTGCTTTCAACATGAAATATCTTCCTATTCATATCATTTGATATTCGGAAACAAAATGCTCAAGCAAACACATGGAACTTTAAAAAATTAACATTTTAAAGAGCATTTATATATTTAACAGTAAACATTCAGTTTTATTATTTGACTACTATATGTACTCTTTTTGTGTGTACTATTTATATGTATTAACTGCCATGCCGATGGGGCGGGATCGAATCCCGGAGAAGGTATGGATGTTTGTGTAAGTATAGTGTCTATGCGGCATGGGACACTAAATATGCGGCGAGCCGGAAGTCCTGTCGAGAGGTCAGACGAGTGAACATTAGCAACAACAACTATATTTTTTTAATTTGATGGAAAAATTCCTTTTGAGCTGTTAATCGTACAATATGAAGCTTTTGAATTGCAAGTCTGCTTCCCCATCTGAAAACTATATATACACAAGAGCTATTGATCATCCATATGTAAAAACATTACTTTTCTTAAAGTGTCATTAAGAAATCATAAAATGTAAAAGGTATTTTCTCCCTCCTTTCCGCATGCCTTTCGTAGTAAAACTGGAAGCACGCTCGGGTATTCGGGAGGCCCGGAGTTCAAATCTTGGCGACGGCATTGCGGATTTCTACAGTTTCATGGCATCGAAAAATTCTGATTGTATAAATGAAATTAAGAAATTAAGATTTTTCTAATTTTAATATCCATTTTGAAACTCACATATATTGTGAGCTTTGCCATCTCCATGTAAAATTAACTGATGTAGTTTAGAAAAGTATTCAATAGAGGCATTAGTTGTGTAATGTCTTAATTATACCTCTATTGAACAGATTTTTAAACTATTGAGTACTTTTATTCGCCTAAATTAATAATATTTGTAATGATTTACATTATGTACCTAGGTAATAAATAATTATTAAGTTCATAACGTACACCATTATAAATATTGTTAATTTAAATTATGCCATACATATTTACAAAATTTACGAGTTGGGTAAATTAAGCATATTGTAAACAATATTTGTAAATATTTTTATTTCTGTTAGTTAAATAAATTATTGAAAAAGTTTATATTTCTTGTGTAGCTTATTTTCTCCCTCCTTACAGCGTGCCTTTGTGGTGTAGTTGCATAGCACGTCCTGGTAGTCGGGCGGTCTAGTGTTCTAATTCAGGCGAAAATATTGCATATTTTTCACTCCTGCACCGATAAGCCTAATGACGTTACAGATTATTTTTATTTAAGGTGGTAACATTTGTAGAAACATTAGGTATTTTTTGGAAGCAGACAAGATGAAAAATGAGCAATCGCCTTCGCCGGGAATCGAACCACGGAGCTCTGGAATACCGGCCCAGCGTGCAGAACCACTACACCACGAAGGCACGCTAGGAAGGCGGGAGAAATACCTTATTTACACCCCCTTTTAAAGGGCGACTACAGTTTTAGGGGACCCAATTGCCAAATCCTGGGTGAGGAGCATCAACATCCCACACTTTTAGTTCGGGCGCTACTGTAGAGATATTAGGTATTTTTTGGAAGCAGGCAAGATGAATAAAGGGCAATTGCCTTCGCCGGGAATCGAACCACGGACCTCTGGAATACGGCCTAGCGTGCAGAACCACCACACCACGAAGGCACGCTAGAAAGGTGGAAGAAATACCTTATACAGTTAAGTAATGCAGTGCTATCCATTGTGAAAAACTATAAAAAAAAAAAAAAAAAAAAAAAAAAAAAAAAAAAACGTGATAATAGTTAAATAAAGTTTAAAAGCAAGAAGAAAACTTCTGATTACAGTCTAACACTTCAATAAAGTGTCTGCCATTAAAGTGCTTTAATAATAAAAATAACAGAAAATTAAAAATATGAAAATTCTTAATTATTTACTCGTCTTCTTAAATAAAAAAACAATGTTTACTGTTGCCAACATACCAAATTAAAACTTTATCATTAAATGGAGCTAACGTCTCCCTATTCAATTAAATCTATATTTTTGAATAAAATAATAAATAAAAAAAAGTATAAAAAAGTAAAATCTGAAGGCTTTCAGATTTCATATTATGCCCAAACGGGCGGTTTTTCCATTACAATTTCGAGAACATTTTAGTTAAAGCCACTTTTGAGCTAATAATATTTTAAAACAGCATATCTTTAGAATTTCCAATAGACAGTCTCACGCACTGGTGATTCAAATGTTTTACTCTGTACAGTGTTGCCACTGCTCGGTTTGTAATTATTGAGTCTTTAATCAAAAATTCGTGAAAGTTTTACAAACTACGAAATGGACAATAAAACAAATTCCTAATTTGGTCTTCCAGGTGCCCATGTTCAAGTGGATGACAATGTTATTCAGAATTTGATGTCTCTAGGTACCGTTGTTTCTTTACACTGCGAGAAACATGCTACATTCATGCAGATTCTTCATTATTCGTTCTTTAAATATAATGCAGGGCTCTAATATTTGCTGACTACAATTTGAAAAGGGAATCTTCGTTTTAGAGTGGACGATGAAAAATGCCATAACGAAAGTAATAGATCTTCTGGACAAATTACCCCCTTTGGGGTAATAATGAAGAATCTGCATAAATGTATGCGTGATTCTCACATTGTGAAAAGCCAAAGGTATCTAGAGCCATCAAGTTTTGAATAACGTTGTCCTTAACTCGAATATGGGCGCCGGAAGCCCGAATTTTGAATTTGTTTTATTGCCTATTTCATATTCTGTGAAACTTTAACGAAATGTTTTATTAAAAAACTCAACGGTTTTAAAATGAGCAGTGCAACACTGTACGGAATAAAACATTTTTATCTCCAGCGCGCGAGATAAAAATGACTGTCTAAAGATGTATTGTTTTTAAATATTTTTAGCCCAAATGTGTTTGTGCCGAAACGTGTTTTTTTGTTGTGTGTAAATGATTTTTTTTTTTTTTTTTTTTTTTTTTTTTTTTTTTTTTTAAATTCTGATTTGCAGGTTCCGACGTTTTCTCTATTATTCTCGCATGTCACACAAATTTTTTGAAGAATCTAAATAATAGGTCTGAGCTGTGTACACAAATTTTGAGTACCACAGAGTTGCACAAATAAATGCCTAAAATAATTAATTAAGCAAATATTTTTATCACTGTTGCTATTGTTACCTGAAATAATGAGAAGCAAAATAGCTTTCAGGAGCAAAACGCCTAATGAGGTAATGTTTTTCTTTTCACTTTTTAAACTAAAGATACACAATATTAATATATTTTTTCAAGTTTCGCTACCATTTCTTTTATGAAAATAATAAAGTTCTCCCTTCCCCCCCCCCAAAAAAAAAATAAATGACTAATTATATAATAAAAATAAATAAACCTTTATCATTAAATAATGAAGAAAGACGCATATATGTATGTATGTATGTATATTATTCACATTATAGAAAAATCGGTGGTATCTAAAGCTACTCAGTTTTGAAATAACGTAGTCCCTAACATGTGCACTTCGAAGCCGAAATTTTGAATTTAAAATGCGTTTTCAAGTTATTTTATATTCTGTTCAAATTTCATGAAATTTTGATTAACAAACTCAGTGATTTACAATAATGTGTTGCTTCTCTCAAAGAGTCTCTCAAATTTATGCAGTAAACTGAACGATATAAAAGAAATATGTTTCACTGCCCAAAATCAAATGTTTTTATCTTCCACAAGCTAGTGCGTTACGATTTTGGAAATAATAACATTTCTTTCTTTCAAATTTAACTTTCTGTCAGTTGTTAACAAATTAAGCCATTTATAAGCAACAATAAATGTAGTTCTGCATGTCTGCTTTTAATTATTACCTGGACTCATGAAATTACACTAAGTGGAGTTCTAAAATCAATTCAGCTGATGAAGTTCCAAAAATTAAAAATATCATATTTTTTATTTCTGATATTCTTTTTCGGCTGGCCACGTAAATAGCTAGCAATATAAATACGTAAATAAATGAATAAAAGACTACACTTTTATGGATTCCGCTTGTTCCAGACAATTCGAGGGAGAAAAAGAAGACATTTCTAATGCCACAATACGTTATTTGTACACTTATTACATAACTGCAATGAAGAAATAATATTTTACCTTAGGGATATTGATAGTGGGAAAGAAATAAGAACAATTTGACTCAGGAATTGCCAACGAGTCGATAATTGGGACTGTAGAAATAGCTCTCGATGATAACGGACTTACTCATCACATGAGTCATCCGCTGTTGCCACCTGAAAAACCCGAAAAAGAAAAGAGCGGTAATTGTTCCGAGAACTATTTCACCATTTCGGGTGGCGTGAAATCCTCTCCGTCTACTACGTCGATAAAGGATTCTCCGCATTCTTGTGTCGCGTTTTTGGAATACGTTCAGGTTTTGTCATCATTAACCATCGCTGCCGTGGTTAGTTTTTGTCCGGAATGTTCCGGACTGTCATATTCCTAGTATTTATTTTTGTTAGAGAGAAGAATTTCTCGTGCACCTAATGAAAGTTCCGGATTTTAGAAAGACTTTTTTTTTCTTTTTTTAAGGTCATGAGATATATGTGTTGTTGGAAGTTCGTTTACAATAATTTATCTCCAATGCAAACAAGACTGGAATTCATAGTCATAAAAATAGACATATCGCATGATAAAAATAATCCAGAAACGTTTCAGAGAATAGCAATATGAATTATAAAGTGTCAGAGTAACGTCACACAAATTGAAGATTTCATTTCCTTACTTCTTCTTTCAACACTTTTAGTAAAATCTATCCAGAAAATTTTAACACACAGAAAAAGTGTTAATGTAAGTTACCCTATCTTAAAGATAGATTAATTTCAAGAGGCGTGTTTTTCAACCAGAAGATTTACGGTGTATTAGAGTAATTTTTACTCCATTATTCTAATGTTTAAGATTCTACAAATTATTTTAATTTATTTATTAGTAGGATTTTCATTTCTTTAAAAAAAAGAAAAAAAAAGAGGTTTACTCTTCATTCTTTGAGGCTTCTAGAGTAA